ATAAAAGAAAATATACAATATTCTTCTGTTTTCATTAGACAGCACAGAACATTCTACTTACTAATACTATTCAACACTGTAAAAAAAATATTGTTGGTTTAACTTAAAAAAGTAAGTAACTTCGGTTGCCTTAAAATTTTAAGTTGATTGAACTGGAAAAAGTTAGTTAATACAATGAAGTAGATTAATTTAACCATCAGAAACTCAAAATAATAAGTTATCTCAACTAAATAAATTATTATAAAGTTGATTTGACAAAAGAAAATATGTTGTGATAACAAATCTTGAAAATATTTTTTACAGTGAAAACGACGTGCCTATTTTGGTGCCATTCCCACATATAAGCTCTTTTGCTTTACTTTTTCAAAAGATTCTTGGTGTTGGAGGAATATTATGCTGATCTCATCTGTCTACTGCTCCAACGCTCACAGGACAATTCCCCTTTCTGTCTGGCAGTCTCTCGTTCTATATTCCCAGATGTTTCAGTTCCTCACCTGAAACTCAAGTGAAACAGTTCCAGTTACTAAAATTTGCACATCCAAGGTTATTACAGTTAACTAAAACTAAGAAATATTGTGGTTTTGTGGTGCTAAAGATTGCTGTTTGAGTATTTGGATCAGTTGCATAGCAGGACATTGCAACACTTGCTCAACCAATGGCACGGGAATGGAGGAGGAGCCATTTGTTTTGGGTCACATTACACATTCAACAAAAGCAGAAGACAGAAACCACAAACTAAGCCAATAATTACTCTAGCATATACATAAACAACAACATTTTTTTTAAAGCTGCAGTCTGCAAAAAAGCTACGGACTGCAGCTTTAAGCCCAATTTATACTTCTGTGTCGACCTCCCGCCGTAGCTACTTCGTAGGCTGTGTGTAGCGCGCGTACCCTTCGGCGTACCCTGACGTGCACCTCTCCAAAAATGTAACGAGTAACGACGCGTCAATTTTTTGTGGAAAAAGCGCTGTGATTGGTCATCAACTAACGGTGGTGCTTGCTAACTGAGAGGAAGTAGCTGGAAAGGTTATGAAATATTATTTGTTAGCGCTCATTTCTATTTGAGATGAATGTATTAAAATATGACCTTAAAGGTCCCGCCTCGTCTACCATCTGCCATCAACAGGCCCTCTGGAGATCCCCATTAACCCAAATGTCAATATCTGAGTGCTTCACAAGTGCTAACGGAGGGTCTTAATCTAATCCATTACCGATGACCCAGGACAACAGTCCTAGATTTTTCCTCAGAAGTTTTCACTCTCCCAAGCTCTCATGTCAGACGTTGCCCCAATGATGGTCAACAGCACTCTAACTGTTATTCAGCGCGTCATGTGACTTATAATTCAGTTCTACCCTCTCTTCGACATAGCATGTCCAGGAAAGCGAGTCGGCTGCTGGGTTACGGAGGAACAATGGCATTCCTGTGCTCTGTGATGCCAGGTGCCGGCAGGAACACGATCCCTTCCATCTGTCCGTCTGTTCTGGCAAGCGCTCGGCCAGGCCCGGGCAGCAGCTAGGGAGAGTCACAAAATGGGTCTATTGTTCCAAAGCCTCTTGGAGGAACACACTAAATACACCCCCCCTCCACTTCCCCAACACAAACGTTGACGAACGCACATCAGCATAAACACGCACATCGTACGCAACAGAGGCGCTGCCACCGTCAGCCCAACAACATGCGCCTCACACGCATCTGCAGCTCTGCTGAAGTCTTGCTGAGGGGGGAAACAGCATGCCAAGCTGCACAGCCCAGTCCCATGGAATATGATTCATTTCCTATAAATGTGGGACCTGACAGCCTCTCCTCTCCAAGATAACCAAGCACTGAGCTACTTTCAAATCTGCCTGTCCTTATCTGTTGCCAAGAACATTTTATTTTTAATGACTTTTTGGATTTTCAATTCAAAGCCATGATGAAACGGAAGTAGCAACAGATCTTTGTATCCATATTGTGATATAGCCTAAATCGGAGTATGATGAATTATCAAAAAAATAAATAATAAATTGTAGGTTGGGAACTTGGTTTTATTCAAGGTTGTTGATTGGATTTTAAGATGTGGCTGTTTTAAACAGACTAAATGACTGTTTAGAGAAATCCGATACATCAGAAAATCATTTTCACAGAAAGATTGAGATATGACATTTTAATTAAGCATTACATCATCCAAATGTCAACTGTCAAATAAATACAAATTCATGGATGAATCGTTCACAGTAAGATCAATAATTACACTCTAAAAAAAATGCTGGGTTGTTTTAACCCAATTTTGGGTCAAATGTGGACAAACCCAAATGTTGGATTAAAAAATGCAATTTATAAATTTAACCCAACAGCTGGGTTTGTGCATATTTGACCCCAAATTGGGTTAAAACAACCCAGCATTTAATGATTAATTAATCCTTGGTTAAATCTACTAATCTACTAATTTTTCAATGGAAAAAAAAGACTTCTGCATCAAAACCTATTGGCAATTTAGCAAAATATGATGTTTATAGATTTCATTAATTTAAAACAGAATTAATTTTCCACTTATTAAAAAAAGGCAACCATTATTATAATAATTAATAGTTTTCTATTAAGATGATCTCTCTTTTATTTCAGCTGCATGAAATTCTTAGAATGCCAGTTTAATTATTATAAACATTTGAAATTTACATCTCATGTTCCTTTTCTTTTTCATTTCATGCAATACCATAGTATTGTTGTAATGTAATTGTAAGATGAGGTTTAGTACATTTCAAATAGCATAATTAACTAATAAAATAAAAAAGTTATGTTGAATTAAAACAATCATACGTAGACTAGAGAGATGCATTACAGTTTCAAACCGATGCTTTGCATCTATCCTTTTAGGTTTAACGTATTCTCCAAGCACAGCAACCATTTGATGCCTCTGGCAACTCTTTACCCTCTCACACACTCAGACTATCAATTCCTCCCAGTCCCAACGAAAAACACTCATGTAGCCAGGGTCTGTCCGAAATCCACATAGCCGGTGCACTGTTTAGAGGCGAGAAGGCCAGTGAAAGTAGCAGGAGATAAATAATGGATAGCTCGTTCTTTCTCCTCTGTGAAAAAACATGACAGATCAGTTCCTACACCCTCTGCTTGTACAGCTTCATTTCTGACTCCAGGGGCCCGCTGCCCGCCGTCTCCACGCTCTCATCTTCTAATGGTCCTACCAGTGATTACTGAGACATAAGTGCACCGTCTGTCTTGATGATCAATCATTCGCTGGATCTATAAAGACGGTCCCACCACAGAGCTCCCCAAATGTAATTAAATTTAAAAGAGTGGACGCTGCCCGATCTGCCAGCAGTTTGAGGGGTGTCGTTGGCTGTAAGCATGACTGACAACTTATTTATAGTGCTTCAGCTGCACGCTACACAATACAGTATACGTGATGATGACAACTTGGGGTATTCGACAAAAACATGCTCGATTTAGCCTGTCATGTCATCAATGGACTCCTCAGAGCCACTGAGCAATAAAACAGGTCTTTTAACAGGAGAGTGCTATTCAATAATAAGCATTGCAGAATATATATTATATAGGCTAATTCAGAACAGACAAACAAGACATCTGTGGGGGTCAATGTTTCCCATCACTAAATACGAGTATGACAGATATAGGAGCGACTCACTGAGGATCAGCTCAATGATCACTCTTTAATGTCAGCCTACTTTTGACTTTTCCACTAAGGCAGCCCTCAAAAGAGCAAATGTCTGCTTCATGCCAAGTCAATCTGAACAGCAAAGTTATGGCAAGCCCTTTCAAGTAATTCTATAGAGACTGGTAGCCTTTTTTCATTTTCAATAGGCCTATTTTTTTTAGCTATTCATTACATACTAGATCCTACTACTGAATGACGGTGACAAGTATCCTGAATAAATCACTAGTACATATTCTTTATTAGATATCAATACGTATTCCTTATATTCACTGTCACAAAATGAAAAGTAACTACTTCAATGTTTCCGGTAAAAAAAAAAAAACTCTAACAAAACATTGCCACTGAATTCTATTTCTGTGTCTATCTATTGTGTATTCCTATTGTTGACAGCACAGCACCTATTTACATTACACTAGTAAATGTTCAGGGCTGATTTCTTCATTATTAGTGACTATTTTAGTGGTAATTATTATCTATTCCAATTACCCAATATCAATTGAAAAGATGTTATTACCTAGGCCTATGTAGTAGACATTAAGATGTATTCCAATTGCTGTAATATTTTTACTGGTCAGATTTTAATGCATCTATGAAGCCAATTTGATTCATAATTACATTCACACAGCAAAAAAAACAAAAAAAAAAAACAATTGCAAACAATGACATAGGGAACGTTACTAACTGATGCTAGACGTCTCTCAGAATGCATAAAAAGAAACGGAAACCTATATATAACCAATTCACATTAAGATAATGAACTAGCAATGAAAACATTTAAAGCATTAAACTTATAGTTAATAATTTCAACATTTGTCAACACATTAACATGGGTGGCGTACTGGCGTTAAAAAAGATTAATGTTACTTGCCTAAACAAAGATTAATAAATACTCCAAAAATGTATTGCTCATTGATAGGTCATGCATTAAATATCGATAACTAGCCTACTAGGACATTCAAGTAAAGTGTTTCCAAATTGTACTTTATTAGAATACTTAACAATAAATAAATAAAAATCCTAGCAGTAATATAAAGACAAATAGACTAGGAAACTAGTAAGTTTTATTGGGGGAAATCTGCCTTTGCCTTTGCCTTTGCCTTCACTGTCCGGGTGCGATTTCTTTCAATAAATGTTAGAAGCTACAACAGTCGCATTCCTGTATTGGAACACCGCTGCTCTTGTACCAGTCCTCCTGTCTCTCTGCTTAACACTGACACATGAAGAAAACAGAAAAAAACAGTCGGCTAAAGAACAGCCCCAGAAACCGAGCCGACAATTAACATGACGCGGGTTCAAGTTTAGATATAGAAATGAAAACATTTACCTTTTCTCGTTTCGACAGCGCACGAGACGATAATAGAGAGCGTTGAGACCTTTCTCTTCGTCCCAGTGCGGATCTGAGGCTCCACGCGCTGGGGAAAAAAATGTGATCTTCAGATGGTAGTAGCTCAATTAATCCCAAACATGTTCGGGCGGAGAGCTGGCCCGAAATAAAGCGCTTTTCTCAAAATCCGCCGTCTCGTTCCGAGGTGGATGGTAACCCGTTAGTTTAGTGCGCGCATGGCGGCCTGTTCTCTGGTAATTATGGTGTAAATTTGCCGAGGATTGAGGACACTCCGTCCGCTGGATGAGCGCTGCGCTCCGGCTCAAAGCACTGAGTGAGCGCCGCTATCCGGTCTAACGGAGACGGAGCAGCTGAAGAGACCCGCCCACTCTGTCAACCCGGAAGAGAACTGTCAATGAAATGGCATTAATGACATAAGTTGCATCTAGGCTATGAGTTGCATTGCACCCAAGAATGAGAGCCATGGGAGGACGGTGGAAATATTATTAACAACCTTCTAACCTCTGGCTAAATCAGTTGTATAAACAAAACTGGTTTTGCCTAAATAGTCATGGCTGTAAAATTGTAAAATATTCCCTGTGTTGCTGCAGACAGCTCGGTCTCCTTTCTACTTGTTAATTGCCACGATGTCCTTCCAGTCCTGTGGGAGGGTCCCCTGTTCCCAGATGTTTTGGATCAGGAGGTGCAGGCGACACGTGAGGATGTAGCTATCCTCCGTGTTTGAAAACCTCTGCAGAAAACCTCCATAGTCCCGAGGGCTCGCTGGGTTGCTGTTCTTGCAAAAATGAAGGAGGTTTTAAGGGTGGAAGATCCAGGGCAGGACAGGAGAGCTTTTTTTTGGGTCTAATGTTTGGGTTTTACGAGTGACCGTAACTCAGCTGAGTTACAATCAAACCACTCCTGGTGGTGTTTCCTTGATTGGATTTGACGGACAATCATGTAGTCAAGAAGATGCCAGTGTTTTGCCTGGCAGGTGGTCTTAAGTGTGTTCTTCATCTGGAAGACGGTGTTAGTAATGACCAGCTGGTGCTCTGCACAAAGGAGTCTGAGTCTGTTGTGGTTCATTTTCCCCACACCATGCTGGCCAATGATTTTATTCCATACCAGGTGCTCCGTGCCCACTCTAGCATTAAAATCTCCCATGAGTATGAGTCTGTCCGTAGCCAGGGTTTTCTGTAAGATGGCATCAAGAGTTGAATTCTATGGACTGATGAGAGTGGTGAAGTGTTCCTTTGCCAGGGGAATGCGCCATGTCATCAGTCTTTCATTGATGCCGATGGGGGATTCCGGAATGCACTGCAGCAGTTTAGACTTTACAGCAAAGCCAACTCCATGGTGCAGCGAGTGCCCCGTCCAGAAGAAGGTGTACCCAGCACCAAGAAGCTTGCACATAAGTGAGGATTAAGGTGAGGGTGTGGATGCGCTATCTGGTGGCAGTAACTGAAAGCAGAAAGTGGGAAGCAGAAGCAGCATGCAACATTCTCTATAGCTATAGCACTACTACTCCAACACTGACGCATCACACGCCCTGTGTGCACTAACACTCACACACGACACATGCACGGACACACACACACACACACACAGCTGACATCTCTGTTTTCCATTGTGTATTTAAGATGGAAAGACATTCTAAACAATAACCCGGTAAAAAGCCCAATCTTTTATTCATAAAATATTCATGGTTGTTTGCCTTTTAACTTAAATACAGAATCTCCAACTCTTTTTATTTATGCATTGCATGCACCAGCCAATTGTAGTAACTTCGTCTTGATGAAATATAAATGAGACGTCAAGTGTGTTCAGTATGTTCTTTGCCCCAGTCCTCTCTCAACCAAAATGGTAACTGATCTATAGTCAAAACACTACAGCAGGACTAAACTGGGGTGAACAAAAGAGCTGTATTCAGGTCAAATGCCAAAAGAGGATGTAGACGCAACTCTATAGCAGGAAAGAGGAGCTCTGTCCCTTCTTATCAGTGGCAGCCTGCAACATCTTAGTTGTTTTCTTCAAGTGTGTGTGTGTGTGTGTGTGTGTGCGTGCGTGCGTGCGTGCGTGCGTGCGTGTGTGTGTGTGTGTGTGTGTGTGTGTGTGCGTGTGTGTGTGTGTGTGTGTGTGTGTGTGTGTGTGTGTGTGTGTGTGTGTGTGTGTGTGTGTGTGTGTGTGTGTGTGTGTGTGTGTGTGTGTGTGTGTGTGAATAAACTCAAGGACAACATAATGTTCTACCGAGCGTGTCGATCTGTATGAGGTGATTTCTCTTTATGTCTCCAAAAAGATATGCAGCTTTTCCAACAAATTCTAGTGCTTTTCAGTATTATATTACCATTAACAACACTGGCAAACAACAACAACTCATTAAATGCAACAATATTACTGCAGTAAAATAAAATTAAATAGACATCCTTATTGAGAAGAAATATAGATGTTTAAGATTTATCGTTTGCACATCAGTCAAAATCCAGAATTTACCACTACTATACTATATATATATATATATATATATATATATATATAACAAGTTGGAAGATAATATAATAATCACTTATATTTTATATTTGTTATACAAATATATTATAATGCAACCCATAACACAAGCGGAACCATCGGGCGCGATCGATTTTAGCAACGGAATACAAATAGAACGCACGATGAGTCACAGTCTCCTCATCTTTTCCGGGTGACTAGGATGTTGTGATTTAGCAGTAGGCTAACGAGCTCATAACAGAGTTTTTACAAAATTCCTGGTTATGTTCGTTGCTTAAAACTACAAATGTCTGCGTCGTCTGAACCGGGAATATCAAAAGTTAGGGATCTGAATCCAGCGACGCTCTCGACGAGCAAAGCACAGACAGCGGCGGCGTTAGTTGCTCAAGCCCGTAGCAAGAAGCGAGCCGTCAGTCCCGCAATCCACACCATACCACAGCCAAATAATAACATCAGCAAAAAGAAAAAAACACAACCTCCATCGTCAGCTACTCAAACTCAGGTAAAGAATAAACACTAAGTTACACTTCAACATGACGGGACTAACGTTCCTGTTTACATATCATTTTTTATTTAATAATGAAACTTTTCTCGTTGGTGGCGTTGCATTTGTCTCAGGTTGCTCCAGTGGAGGGGACTTCTGAAGGAAAACCAGCAGCAGCTGTTGATATAGAGAATACTACAAAGTGTCTGCCTTTTAAAAACCCTAACTTTGTGGTAAGAGTCTGCACACAAAAAGTTCCCGATGTATCTAGATACATTTCAATACATTCATACGTTTTTCCTCCACTAGCATTCAGGTATTGGTGGAGCTGCAGCAGGCAAGAAGAATAGGACGTGGAAGAATCTGAAGCAGATTTTAGTAGCGGAGAAAGCGCTGCCCTGGAAAATATCTGATCCTAACTGTGAGTCTGACTTACAGTAATCAAACTTACAGTCTGACTTAGTAATCAAAGGCCCTGTCCCAAATGGCACACTCCGGACTTGTGGACTTTCTCAGAGTCCACACTTCGGTGACGTATGTAGTGCAGACCTACTGTAGCGTGAGGGCACATTGAGAGGTATTTTTGCGACAGACTCGATCGTCTCGCCGGAAAAAGAAAGAAGGTCTGGTTGTTGTTGTGGAGCTGCGGGTCGATATGCTGCCGATTGTTGTTGTTTTTTTTTACTATTGTTTTCCAAGATGTAATGTTGATGAAATAATATTTTTTGCACTCAGTTCCTCATGCCTGTGAAAGCCTTATCCCTCTCCATACAGAGCTGAATAAACTTAAAGGTCATCTCATCAGTCCCTTTTTTAGGTTGTGTTTTATCCCTGAGCACTTCAGAGCGTTAAAATGCTAAATGGAACGGACTCGGCGAGCATGCACAATTTAAGTCCACGAGACCAAAAGTCTGCATGAAGTGTGCCGTTTAGGACAGGGCCAAACTCTGATTAATTCTGTCAAAATAAGAGTTTAAACTGATCAGAATAATAATTCCCAGATTGTGTGTTTACATCTCAGGTCAGAGTCTCAGTGAATGTGTTGATTTACTTTGACAATATGTAAATCTTTTGTTGTTTTTCCTCTTAAGACTGCAGCATAGATGCACCTCCTTCTATGAAACCTGCTAAAAAGTACTCAGACATCTCAGGTCTTCCGGTGAGTCTGTTGTAAAATGATGATGATTAATAATGTAGAAACATTACTAATGTAATTTACTGGATGTAGTCCTCTAACCTCACCTAATGATTTGTACATCTTTGTGTCCCAGGCAAACTACACTGACCCTCAGACTAAACTGCGCTTCGCATCAAAGGAGGAGTTTTCCTACATCCGTCAGTTGCCCACAGACGTGGTGACTGGATACCTGACTCTCCGTAAAGCCACCTGCATCGTTCCTTGAGAGAGAACCCCAAAATAAAGAGGGTTGACTCTCTTTTCCAGGCAGAGACTTTCAGTGGATTATTTAAAATGAACTACTTTTATTATTATTTTTCTAACACTGTTTTTCACACAACAATTGTCTATATTTGTACCTGTATTGTGAACCAAATATGATACAATCCAAATGCACAAAACTCCTTAATCCTAAGATCTTAAATGGATCCAAATACTGGTGTGGACTATAACCAGTAACCCAGTGTAAATTAGATTATAAATAGAGACAAGTCTCTAGAAAAGGAGCAATTTCTGTTGTCAACCTCATGAAACCCCTTATTAGAACAGTTCACAATGTGGTCAATGAATAAAGTAATTCATTTAACAATCAAATTGATATTGTTTTGCCTGGTAATTGCTCTCCTAAAGATGTTTTTTCCATATCAAAAGATGCTGTATGGCCTTTGGTTTCCATAGGTTACATTTAGTAATTTAGCAGATGCTTTTATCCAAAGAGACTTACGAATGAGGAATACAGCAGACAATGCAAGAAGTGCTTGGAGTAGCATAAGCTAGATGACGTCAAGGGAGTGATGCAAGGAAAAGGAAAGTTTTTTTTTTTTTTTTACGTCAAGTGAGTTTTAAAAGGCCTGTATGTATAATTAATCAAATTAAATCCCAATTCTTTTTTGGATTTTGCTGGTTAACTTTATTGTGAATGTATATATGTTACATATCACATATATTTGTAATTGTATACAGTAGGAATCTAAAATTAAAGGGGTGATGAACTGAGAAATCAAATTTTCTTTGAGCTTTTGACATCTAAGAGGTTACCATATTATACGAATATCCTGTAAGATTCATAACTGAAAACGTTCTTGTTAGTCCATTATAAAAAGCCAGTTCATGACCCCTTTAAATAATGCAGTAAGTCCTGATGCCGGATACATTTTATTTTACTGCCATCTACCAGTATCATGAGGTATTACAATGAGATACACTTTTTGAGGCAAATAAACCAACAAACATGCAAATTCTTCCAAGAGATCCTCCTAAACTTTTAAAAAGACAATCCAAGAAGAAAAAGGTTCTACATAGAACCTTAAAGGGAATCATTTTATGGATTTAAAGTTTAGTTTTTAATTAATTCTTTGAATTTAACATACGTTAAAATATAAAAATGTATATATTTAATGTAATTTAAATTTATACTGTATTTTTTCTCAAATGTTTCCTCTTTTCAACAGTATCCACACACAATACTGGGTCAACTCATCTTCTGAGATTATGTAAATCAGAAGTTCAGTATATTCAGTATATTTTAAATAAAACCAACCAGATCATTCATTTTAAGGGTTTTGGGAAGGATATATTTTGCATGATGTCACTTTGCTATAAGGGTTTTGGGTGGGATACATTTCAAGTTGGCCAATGATTTTAATTTTGAGGAAAGTCTGTGGCCCAATAGCTGTCTGGTGTAGGTGTGAAAATTTCCCCTGGAAAAAAAAAACCCTTGAGGGGATTACTTGCCATGGCAACAAATGTCTGTAGCTTGGTAGAATGCCTTAGCAACATACGTCGAAATTGATATCATTACGCAAGTAATCGGACTGGTGAAATGTAATACGGTCAGGAGTACTTGTGGATACTTCCATAAATCAGTGGTCACTGCAGGATTTTAAGAACAGGTCACGTTTGAAAATATTTCCCAGCAGGCCCCAGCGAGGATCGAACTCGCGACCCCTGGTTTACAAGACCAGTGCTCTAACCACTGAGCTATGGAGCCTCACATGATGTCTGTCAATCACTTGAGTATTTGTGCTTTGAGTTAGCATGACAAAGACACACCTCAAAGAATTGGCAGGCAGCCTGTATGTTTGTTGACATCACCTTTGTTCTTTGCCACCAAAACAGGAATCACCTTTAATAGGTCCATTAGATGTAAAGACACTTGACAAGAACAAGATGTTCTGTTCCTTGTCTCTAAATTACTTCATGCAGATGAATCAGATTCATTTGACTGTGATAAGTCCACTCATGAGTTCAAGACTCAAGATCAGACACACACTGATTGATCAGACTGATCAGACACACACCCCTTTGATTGATTGCAGAAACTGAAATCTTTGGGATTGATGCTCTGGAGATTGTAAAAAATATTTATCATCTTCGGACTACACACAAGACATTTTACTTAACCAATATGAACAGTCTCCAACAAGTTTGTTCCTGAGTCAAAGGCCTCTTGAGCCAGGACACATCTGCATCTTGCTGTGTCTCAGACTGATCAGATCATCAGAGAATCAGGCATGTGTTTGCAGTCCAGAGTCACAGGAACTGATGACAGATACAAACAACAGGGTTACTAATGGTCTCATAGTTCCATTCTATAGTACTACTCATTGGGCCTGGGGAGAAGGAGGCCCACTCGTGCGTTTTAGTGATGACCCGATCACTTTGTATTCAGTATGTAATCCACTTTTGTAATACACTCTTAAAAATAAAGATGCTTTAGTGACATCAGATGTTCCATGAAGCATTGTACAAAACGTTATTTAGTTGGAAAAACTGTTCCTTAGAGTCTTTAGATTATATGTAAAAATGCTTTTTTTAATAAGCGTTTACTCAAAAGGTCTTTGAGGAATCTAAAATTCTTCTGGAATCTGTCATGTATTCCTTGTGTGTTTGTGGACTCTTTTGTAGTTTTATGTCTTGTGGTTAGTTGTTCATATTGATTAGTCTCCCCAGGTGTGTCTTGCTAGTTTCTTTGGTTAACCTCCTGCGTTCCCATGCCAATTTATCCACACCCCCTTGTTAGCCTGTGCATGTATGCCCTTGTGTTTCTCTTGTGGTTTGTTCTGCCACATTAATCAAAGCTCCAGAAAGCATCTGTGGATCAACCTCTGGGCTCTGGAATAACATTCAATAATCAGAACTGCAGTGAGTTTGAGTTAACAATCAAAAACACAAAAGTGACACAATGTCTCGCTCACCTTGCCATTGTGGCATTAATGTTCCACAAAATATGCTCCTCAAAGAAATTGTATTTGCATAAATTGATTGTGTTAAAGGAGATTCTTAATATTGGGTGAGAGTTTGAATAGTGTTGGCAATTAATGTTGTTGGGGTTTTTTTTCCACAAAAATCATCAGTTTTCACATGTAGAAATGAAATACCGGGGTTCATCTTATCCTCAATGTTGTTTTATTGTGTCGGATAGAGCTGAGATCTGTTTATTAATCGTCTCCTCCATCTGACTCTTCTGTTCTTCCTCCTTGAAAGCTTTTCAGTTTTTACTGTTACTTCCTAGAGTTTCTTAATAACCATGGGTTTAGACTCTAACAAACACTCATTTTTAGTTGTGCTTTTTTGAGTTTAGAAAACTCTTCATTAAATGGATAGTGCACCCAAAATTTTCACCCTCACGTTGTTCCAAACCTGTATTTAATTATTTCTTCTGCTGAACACAAAAAAAAAGGTATTTTGAAGAATGCAAATAATCAAACAGTTGACAGCACCCATTGACTTCCATACTAGAAAAAAATACTATGAAAGTAAAATGTTTGGTTACAAACATTCTTCAAAATATCTTCTTCAACATTCAAAAGTTCTTAAAAAGTTTTAGGAAACTATGTGATTTCAGATCCGGCCTTATAGCTTTATTGGGTCTCCTGACAACTAAAATTATAAAACTGTTTCTATAACAGGGCAATAAAAATATAAATTGCCCCATTTCGAGAAAATAACCATGTGATTTAACTACAGGTCTACGCAACATAATTTATTGGCAAATAACCAGCATATATTTATTTATTTGTTTGGTGTGGGTTAATAATCAGGTTTTGCAAGTAAAAAAAGTCACTATAGCCTACTTTCTATTTAGAAGATATAACTGAACACAACAATTTTAAAAAAAAGTAAACAAACACTTTTCCCATTTGTTCCTTTCAAACAAAATCAGCTTGAAAATCAAATAACCTCACTGTGTGCACTGAAAGGCCTCTAGCTTCAGTCTCAAGTGATAAAATTGCGATTTAGAAAATAGTTTTTCTTGTTAGAGCCTATTTTTGTCTTAATTATAATATCTACCGGATAAGGAAGGTTTGGTCAAACGCTGCTACACCCATAGACAGGCTACACCTCTGATGACGAAGCAGCTATACGTAAGTGAACCAATCATCTTATCCGGTCGGTGTGGGCTGGAGGCGAACTAGACTCGCAGGATGCGGGCGGGGTGAACAGTGTATATTATTAACAAAATTATGTAGCCCCATCTAGCTTAGACCACAAACTAAGTCACTCACTATTATCCTCAGGTAAGAATACTCATATTTTGTTGTGTGGTAATGAGTTGCGCATGTAGTTCGTACTATGACAGTATGCTATGATTTCCAAATAGCGTTTTCAGACGCATTAGCGTTTGATATCTACAGTCACGCAGTAAAACATGGGGGTTGCAGTACAATACAAACCTTGTGTGAATCCTGAATGTTTTATATACATGGACACTAACCTAGCTTCTCTGCGATTGTTTCTATTTAATTACGTTACCATGCTTAAATGTAAACATGGAAACTTAGTAGCGATGTTAGTAGCGATGTCGGGTGATGTGGACGGGGCTAAGTAGCCTAACGTTACTCAACTAGAGTAAGGAGTTATTTTTCCTTTTTTTTCAACTGTCGATTTATCAGGATATCGAAAATTAAAATCGTTGAAACGTTGGATATATTGATTATATGGTATGGTGCATGTCTGCATACGTTGTAACCATAGAGCGTGTGCTGTTTTTAGAGTAGCTTAGGGCACTTTAATTTTAACCTTCTGTGTCCATTTTGCTCATAATGTATGTGCATGCAAAAGGGTGTGACATATTTTGAGATTATTAAGAACCCCCAAATTGGAAGTCATAACTAAAGGACGGAGTCTCACGTCTCACCTCAGAGTTGAGAAAAAGTATCAAGAAATGGGTGGGCGACTGGGCGTGTAAAGCTTTGGGAAAGTGGCCGAGTAGAAGGTGGGAAAAGGGGAGAAAACAACCAATAAAACGCAGACCTGCAACACATTAAGGTTGTCCGTACTACTCCATGCCAGATCAGATAATGGACCTGCGCCTAGACACGACCACATCGCAGCCCTGGAGTGTCAACTAGACTAGACTGTCCCCATAGGGCTTTGCGATTTAGATAAAAACATATCACAATAATAATGTTTCATATCATTTCATATCATATCAATAATTATTGACTTTTTAATAACCTTTTTTTAAAGACAAGTAGAAAAGTTTGTATTTAAACCACTGGTTTTTTTTATTTGTTTATCCACATTATTAAGGCAAACAACAAATTATATTAGTTTTAGCAGTCAAATACAAAAAAAAATGCACAGATGCTCTGTGTAGATCCCTACTGTGAAGGCCTCATCGAAAAAGTAAAAGTATAAAGTCCTCCATTCAAACATCACTTGAGTAAAAGTACAAAAGTATCCGATTTAAAAAGTACTTAAGTACCGAAAGTAAAAAGTAAATATTCAAATTAACTGTAAATATCAATAATTACGCAGGTCAATTGTTTTGGGAGTGATATGCAATGTTTTATTTGAACAAATGATAAGATTAGATACTGCAATTAAGAATTTGTTAGCTAGCTGTTTACAAGGCATGTTTCAATATGAAATCACTTGGCTAACAATAGTAACATTAAAGCAACACGAAATAACTTTTCCTTTGCTGTCCCCCTACAGGTTGGAAGCGGCATTGTCCGTTACCGCTGTCGTAAATAATTTAGCCTAATGCAGCTTACTGTTGCGTTCACGCTCGCAGTTTATCCATAGACAGTAAAGAGAGTTTATCCTGCACGGCTTTAGAGTGAACAATGTCCAATTGTAACGCTTGCTGTAAAGCAACTCAAATTTGAAATTTGTAGTTTTCTTATGTATTATTCGAACTACAGAAACACGACCTGATCTGGCAAACTTTCATAGCGTGGTTATAGCAGATATAGGACCACAAAGCAAAGACAGAAGTGCCTTTCTTAGTGGAGTAAGAGTGAAAGTAGATTTAAATAAAAAAATACTTAAGTAAACTAACAAAGTATTTTACTCCGTAACTTACCACCACTGCTACCTGAGTATAAAAGTAAAGTATGTCCAAAAAAACTTGAAACATGCTTACTCCAGTCCGTATTTGATCTATGATCCATGTTGTTAAACTCATCGTGGCGTTTCGTCTATTAAATATTGTTAAAGTCATTATTTGTGCTTTTAGTTTTTCAGTGATGTACAGCCTGTACCTATCTGTTCTCATCTCTTGCAACACTTATCTCTTTATGTAATGGCAAAGTGTTACAGGCAATAGTAATAGGACATTGTGTCAATGTGTCCAATGCCAAGAATGTAGCATGGGACTATAAATAGCCTTGGGTCACTCTCCCATCCTGAACGGAATGGATTTTCCATGCCTAGACCTTAGCCTTGATTTAGTCAATGAGAGTATTCTTCTGAAGACTACAGTAATTTGAATTGTTTTTACATCAAGACTAATGATCTTGATAATCATGGCATCCTGACTATGGAGACTTGAAATCCAGGCAAGTGTAAAATCCGAGTTTTGTTTAATTTTTGTAATTCCGCTGTGGTTTTCCTGCAGGTTCTTTGAGGGTAAGGTCAAGTCATCATGGCTGCTTCCTCCCAGGTGTTCAGGGTCATCCATGGCAGGAGATTTGGTCAAATCCTGGTGCCAGCTATAACATGCCAAAACTGCAGTCTGTCGTCTCATCCCTGCAGCAATGCAACTCAGCCACATAGTTTTGTTCAAAGATGGGCGCACCAGTCACGGGGATACAGGACCTCACCTGCAAGGCACACCTACTACCTGACCCCACCTCAGGTTAACAGCATCCTAAAGGCAAATGAATACAATTTCAAAGTGCCTGAGTTTGATGGCAAGAACCTTAGTTCAGTCATGGGCTTTGACAGCAACCAGCTACCAGCAAACGCACCCATTGAGGATCGGAGAAGTGCAGCGACGTGCTTGCAGACGCGCGGCATGCTTTACGGAGTATTTGATGGCCACGCAGGCTGTGCTTGTGCTCAGGCGCTCAGCGAGCGGCTCTTTTACTACATTGCTGTTTCTTTGCTGCCGCATGAGACGTTGACGGAGCTGGAGAATGCTGTGGAGAACGGACGACCTGTTCACCCAATTCTGCAGTGGCACAAGCATCCCAACGACTACTTCAGCAAGGAAGCCTCACAGCTCTACTTTTCCAGTTTGCGCACATACTGGCAGGAGCTTCTGGACCTGAGCGTTCCTGGGGAGCAACCTGATGTTGCCGAAGCTCTTGTGAGTGCCTTTAAAAGGTTGGACAATGACATATCCCTCGAAGCACAGGTGGGCGACCAAAATGCGTTCTTGCACTACTGGATGCTCCGTGTGGCATTTTCAGGTGCGACCGCATGTGTCGCACACATCGATGGCAATGAGCTGCATGTTGCCAACACTGGAGATGGCCGTGCAGTCCTGGGGGTACAAGAACCCGATGGCTCTTTTTCTGCTTTGACGCTCTCCAATGACCACAACGCGCAGAACGAATCTGAGGTGCAGCGCGTGCGGTCCGAGCACCCACTTTCCGAGGCCAAGACTGTGGTAAAGCAGGATCGTCTCTTGGGGTTACTCATGCCATTTCGCGCTTTCGGAGACGTTAAATTTAAGTGGAGCATCGAGCTGCAGCGCCGTGTTCTTGAGTCCGGACCGGACCAGCTCCATGAGAATGAGCATGCCAAGTTCATCCCACCCAACTACCACACGCCACCCTACCTAACGGCTGAACCGGAGGTGATACGACACCGTCTTCGTCCACAGGATCGTTTCCTGGTGCTGGGCTCGGACGGGCTGTGGGAAACGCTACACAGGCAGGAGGTGGTGAGGATTGTGGGTGAACATCTCACTGGAGTGCACCAGCAGCAGCCAGTCAGTGTTGGTGGCTTTAAGGTGACCCTAGGTCAGATGCAGGGATTGTTGCAGGAAAGGAAGGCTCGCATCTCCTCCACCTTCGAGGACCAGAATTCAGCTACCCACCTGATTCGGCACGCGGTGGGGAGTAATGAGTTTGGATTGGTGGATCATGAGAGGTTGTCAAAGACTTTAAGCTTGCCAGAGGAATTAGCTCGCATGTACAGGGATGATATCACTATCATCATAGTGCAGTTTAACCCACACGTCATAGGCGGACAGTAAAAGTGGACCGACTCTTTCGTCCACACGCTCTGTTACATATCCTGCGCACAATCTCATTGTTGTATCAGTAATATCAGCAGCACAGCAAAACGTTACCTATACCAGTGGAATGTATTACATTTTAATGTTCATTTTTATTTTCACATATGCATGGCAGCTGCCTTAAAGGGGTGAGTGGTGTTGATTCCCAATGTCACATGTGGAATGAAGCCAAACAGAAAAGGTTATGTTGAGCCCACCACAGACCCGCTATCACAATTAAACAGTCAAAATGCAACACAAAACCATAAGTTAGGATTGGAAATCTCATATCTGGTGAAATTTACTAATGTGGGTTTAGCAGATTTTGCACTTAGGAGAGACTTTAAATAGTGAGGATGACTGTGTGCCAAAATTATCTTTTATGTTGAATGCTCTTAACTTTTGAATGAATGAATGAATGAAAAAGGAAAATAAAACAAATCTAATTTAACAATGAGTTTAAAAGAAAGAGAATATCAAACGAAGTCCATAAAGTACTTTTTAATTAGAATGCACTGTAACAGATATGTCAAATGATGAGAAGATAGTTCACCCAAAAAAAGAAATTATTATTAGTTACTCACCGTCGTGTCATTCCAAAACTTGTATGACTTTTTTTTTTTTTTCTGTGTTCAAAACGAGATATTTAGAAAAATACCACAGTTGCTGTTATTTTGGACACATTGACTTACAAAATGCTGTGCAGATGGAAAATAGTCATACGGGTTTGAAACAACATGAGGGTGAGTAAATGATGACGGTTTTTCAGAATCTTTCATTTTCTAAGTGCTTTATGTTGGTACTATTTGCATTCTTTTTGACTTAAGTTCTCTTTTTTTGAGCAGCATGGCTTTAATAGATGCAGCTGAAGAACATCTTTAAATTCAACCAAATTATATCCCCATTACTGTAAAAATCCTGATAAAGAGGTCTACTTAATATATATATATATATATATTTTTTTTACCTGTATCAGATGTTGGCCATTTAATGGTTTGTACAGTAAGCCATGCAAAAGCCATACATGTGTAACGTAATAAGAGATATACATGCCACTGCTAATAACAAAATTACTTTCACATACTTCATTTTCCTCTGACAGTGATTATTTATAATGCTGCTTGGCCATCGCTGAAATTCTGTTTACTGAGGTGTGGACGGTTCTCAGAAAGGTGAGGGACAGGTATTTAAAGAAACACAAACACACCTGAATGCTTACACTGCTGTGTGGTAATCTGAACCTGAACAGTTTGCTTTATGGATTGTGTTTCCAAGTAATTGAGTTGATATGTGATTACTGGCCCCAGGTTAGATTAGAACTTGAGTTGTAATATTTTTGTTCCGAGGATAATTGAACAAGGTTAAAACCATATCTCTCTCAATGTGATTGTACTTTCTTGCATTTTTGTTCTCATCTCTTGCACAAGAACACAGCTGATTACTACATGAAATGTTTTGAATGATAGTCAGCAATCAGTGTTAGTAATACTGTTACAAAATTATAGGCTTTCTAAAGTGTAAATAAAGATTGCTTTTTATTGGAATTACTTAATACTTGAAGTAAATGTATGCTGCGATGTTGTTCAGTATATTTAACAATATTTTGCAGCATGTCACAATTTAACAATATTATACTACTATGTGCTGGTGCATGGGCATGGCTTGTGTGAGTACTCCTGCTTTTTGTATTTAAAATGTTTTAATAAAAATGCTATAACCCATTATTGTCAATTTTTTTGTTGAAATTAGTGCATGCAGTTTCAGTTTTAAGCTGAACAGTCCAAACAAATCAAGTTGACTTTTGTTGCCAGAAGTTGCATTTAATTCTATTAGTATGAATGATTGAACTTTGTGTATATTTTTAGAAGGCTGCCCAAACAGAGCAGTTGGTTCAGGGACAGGGGTCAAGTTATCATGGTGTCAGATCACAGTTTCTAGTTTGGCAAACTTTAAGTAGGTCAGTCTATCATAAGGCTCTGCCATGACATGGCAATTCTGAAATTCTTGAAACTAAATGTCAAGAGTTCAGTCGATACTAGGACATGCATATCTGCATGGTATTTAATGGGCCTAACCCAAATACATACAAGGCTTCTGAACTATCAGCAGCCGATCATGTCTTCAGTGTCACATGATCCTTCAGAAAACGGATTTGGTGCTTTAAAAAACATCTCTTATCAATATTGAAAACCTTATGCTGCTTACAATCTTACTTTCATTTTGACATTATTTGAGTCCTGAAGAGGAGTCTTGCATTTACAAAACTCAACAAAGCTATCCAAAAAGTTTGCAGACACAATCTTGATTCCTGCAGCAGAAATCTAATTAATTCTGCATAAACGAGGTTTTACTATTTGCATATTGACAAATTCTCCACCCGGGGGCGCTAATGGCCAACAATTGCAAATGCCTGGTGGGGCTATCAAAACCGACGTGAAATAATAACATACTCTAGCCTGTACTATTCTATCTGTAATATAATGAGTAGTATGAAGCTGCAGACTCGGAGACCTGCATCTACAGTCCCCCTGCACCCAGAGTCCCGCATTCTCAGACCCCTCGTTTTTCGAGACAGCGCCTCCTATCAAATTGTATCGGATAAACGTGAAGAACTTGAGCCAAAACGTGAGTAGGCTATCTTCAATTTTATTTAGCGAATCGTAATAGCCTACTCGTTAGATTTATTTTTTTAATAAAACTAATTTAGCTCATCGATACAACATAGCTATGAATAGTCCATTGAATATTTGTAAAGTTAGTTTGTAACAAGATTTGAGCCGTTAATGTATGTTTTTCACCCTCTTCCCCCCGCAAATATTTAGATAGCTTACGTTTACGTTAGCCTTTAACCTCGGACTTTTTGTAGAAATGTCTTATGCTGCAGTTATTTTCACTGCCCATTTTGTGCACATGGTAACTAACATTTGCAAACATATTTTTCTTTTTTTTCTTTCTTTCTTTTTGAAACATCAAGACATGTGCTATCGGATGGAGTTGCCCCTGCCGAATCCAGCAACATTTTATAATTATGCAAAGCGACTTATAAATGAGTTTTTTTTATGCAATTGAAGACGAAAAGTAAAGTCACCAACAATGTTTTTTCTTCCTTTTTTCTTTACAGCAAGATGATGTTTAGGTGATCATTAAATAAAGTACAGAATTGTTTATTATTGGTGTTTTGTCTGTTCTGATTTGTTTTGCTTCGCATTCAAAATATCAAAAAACAGATATTGTAATGTTAGCATGGTAATGTTAATTAGACCATTATAGGTTGAACTTAAAGAAAATTGGAATTTGAATAAAAAAATATTTAAAAAAACATTGTAGCAATATAATATGATAGCCTACTATTTTTCTGAAGATAGTTCAATCTGCTAATTGTATCCCTTCCATCAGTAACATTTTTTTTTTTTTTACACATGCATTAAGGAACACAAATATTTATTGGATAATTTATTTGAAGACCGTAATATTGCATCCTATTGTTTTTAATTGCATTTGGATAATGAGCTGTACTCTGTGTGCGGGTGTTATTCGATCTTTTGAACAGCAGGAGGCACTGTGTTAGAAAAACGAGGGGTCTGAGAATGCGGGACTCTCAGTGGGGGGCTGTAGATGCAGGCTCCGAGTCTGCAGCTTCATAATATTGAATATAATGCACGTGTCGAATGGTTTTGTTTAAAAGTGTGCTATGTACAATTATACACATATAATGAAGTTGACGCAGTGTTGCCTATTTTACTCTATTAAAACGGTTCTGCTGCAAAGCAAACCTGGAATGTTTCCTGGGTTGCCCTTATAATGTTAGTATGTTTTTTAGATCAAAAATAGTCATAATTTATAAATAAAAGGCATTTTTCCTAGCCTGCTTTGAACGCTCTGTTTGAAGGGGCGTGTCTGCTGTGTGTAACCGGCCTCTGCTGTGATTGGCTGACATGCTTGCATATAAAAATAAGTATTACATGTGAAACTCTCTCGAATAATTTTACTGCAGCTATTATACGTTTTTACTATTACAGCTATCGAGATTAACGAATCGTGAGATGTTTTTGAAGTATTTAGATCTATTCCCATCACATACATTGTTGCTGTGATGCATTGAGCAAGCAGAAGACGCGAGGATGAAGATATTATCATTGTAACGCAGTTTCTGCACTAATGCTTTCACCAATGCAGACACGATCATGTAAATACAGTAAAAGCTTCGTTGTGCAGTGTAACGTGCGTCATAAAATTCATAACGAGTTTGGCAAGTGTCCAGATAAACTCGCGCTGTGTGGAAAGATTGTTCTTTGATTGCTTTCTGTAGCTATATAATTATAAATACGATTTTTTTTCATCCTACTAAAAGAAACGATGTGAAGTTAATATTTTAGACACTGGCTTGACTTACTGATGCATAAACGGTATTGAACGATATTGAGAGAAGGATTAACTTACCTGTCTGATCTTGAACGTGTTGCTTTGCTTGGTAGCTCGATCCGAGGCTGGCTAGCTCTTGGCCCAAGTTGAGGAAACAGTCGTCGGTGAAATGTCTGTTATTTCCACCGAAAATAAAATTAACCCATTGTTTCTCCAGAGGCTCGGATGAAGGAACTAAATACTTTGTGTTCATGTGTACATCCGAACACTGATCAACGGCCATGCTTCGACTATGCAGTTCCGCCTGTCATTAAACATGGGCTGGCATATGCAAATGTTTGGAGTCGTACATATTAATGATCCCGACTATTGCTTCACAGTCCGTATTATGTGGAGATTCACCTTTTTTTCAGGGGTGTTTTTCAAAAACGAAAATTAAAACAATGGCGTTTGAGACTCACTGTATGTCATGTCCATTTACTGAACTCTTATTTAAATATGCCAAAATAAATTCAATTTCAAATTCTAGGGCACCTTTAAGCAAATTTCAATATGTTGTGAGTCGCTGATCGTGTGTTAGGCCTACGAGTCCGGAAAATGTTGGTCAAAACATAGATCTTCAAACAGCGGATGATAGATAGATTGTAGTGTTGTAGAAGAAGGTTTAATATTATTTCATATTATTCATGGGTTTTTTTTCTACAGAGAGCCCAGATTGTCTGAAGTGAGCTGCTAACTGCTACTGTAAGCATGATGATTCATTCTCACACCAGACATCATCCTCACTTAATATCCATTCCAGAGAAACCCATCTGTTCCACCAACTCATTCTCTCAACCAGAAACTGGTCATTTGGACATTGGACATTTATTTAAATGCATTACCCCCTGTTTCACAGACAAGGCCTAGTCCCAGAGTAAAATGCATATTTGAACTGGCTTTATGCACAGCTGCACTACTTCCTGAATTTAAGTCAGCTCCTTGATTCCTGTCTACCATTATTGGCCAAGCTTGATTAATTCAGGTGTGTCTGATTATTGTTGCCGTGACTACTGAGGTCAGGCACACCTGAACTAATCAATTTGTCCAATAATGGCAGACAGGAAACAAGGAGCTGGCTTAAGTTCAGGAAGTAGTGCAGCTGTGCATAAAGCCAACTGAAAGCAACTTGCACTGATATGCCCTGTCTGTAAAACCAGGCCTACGATTTAAATATGAGATTTTTTCAATTTTATAAAACACGGACAGTCGGACACACACTGCTTCACTTCACATTTTGGCTTAATCCATTTGAAGTGTATGAACAAACACCAGACAACTAAGCATAACACTTAGTTTAACCCAGTTTAGTTATGTTATTACACATGGTATAAATTCATATTTAATTCCTGTTGTTAGCTGGACCAGACTATGTTGAAAGATAAACAAATCTTGGCAATGAATCCAAACCTCCATCAATTGTGCATGCATAAATTAAAGTGTAGAGGACAGTTTAGTCAGAAAAAAAAATATTGAATGTATATATTCTTTAGCTTTATAATGGTGTAAAATAGCCTATAAATACATACTCTGGTCTTTTATAGTTTCATTTGAATAGTTCTAAGGGCAAAGGTACTTCAGCATTACAGAAATGTCATAATTTTTTTTTACTAAACTTTCCTGTGCTTGTCCTTTAACCTTCCAAAATTCTCTATGGCCTTATTAATTTAACAATAAAGATGTGTGATTGATGGAACTGTTATAGTGTTAATCTCTATTTAATAATACTGAAAATACTTGCATTTTTTATATTATGAATGTTATCTTTCTAACTGTTAGAAAAAAATTACGCCGTCAGTGTGTGAATGGGTGAGTGAATGGCTGAATATGAGGCAGTATGTAAAGCTCTTTGGTGGCTATTGAGTCTGTGAAAGTGCTATATAAATGCAGTCCATTTCCCATTTCTAACTGTTAGAAAACAATTCATAGAGATTTGTTGCCTTATTGTAAAAAGCACACACGCTTTTAGTAGTTTCAGTCATACAGGACTTATCAGCCTATTCATCCTACCAGTCTATTCATAATGAATTTAGTACCTTTGTCAATTGCACAGTGCTCATAGATGGTTGTGTTGCACTGAGCAGCTGAAGTGTGAAGCCTGTGCACGTGCTCTCGCTGCACATTGAGCGCTCTGTAAGCCAGTGAATTAATGTGTGCAGATGGGGTGGTCTGTATTACTGGTGAGTTAGAGCTGAGCTACAGATGGGAGGGTCAGTTGACACTGTTATGGTTTTAATGTATTCTCCATTTGGCTCTGCTTCTCAAAACAATTGTTTTGTTCACTCTTTGGCAGATGACCTTCCAAACTGCCTAAAAGAGAT